GTATATATATATATATATATATATATATATATATATGTATATATATATATATATATATATATATATATATATATATATATATATATATATATATATATAACATATATATATATATATATATATATATATATATATATATATATATATATATATATATATATATATATATATATATATATATATATATATATATATATATATATATCTGATGTAAAGGGAAGATCAAGTGTAAAATGTCCTCCTCATCCACTAGTACTAGATACAAATCATCCTTGTATAGAATTCGCATAATAGGGTCCACCAAGTGATCAAAATAACAAATGACATTTTAAAGCTGTATTATTTATTCCGAAAACATTTGTTATATTAGATAAATTACCTATGCAAAGATTAGCTGCCTTTTACAATTATACAATAAAACAAGCAGTTCAGTGACATTTTGGTTACAACCTTTTATCACAAGAAGTTCATCAAATAATTTAATATTAACTACTATTCATCCGCAAATACCTTTATCCATCTCATCCTTAAGTTGTACTCATCAATATTTAGATATATAAATACAAATTATGGCAGAGAATATATGTTGATGAACACTATGGATAATGGAAACGGTATTTATTTAATATATATTAGAATGCATGTCATTGGAGGATCTGGAGAGTAGTGGGAATCTAGAGTACGTATATACGATGGATTTGGACCCCCAACAAATACTAATTCAGTTATTCAATCTTGGACACCGTATAATAAAAATAATTATACTAAATTTCCTGGATATGATTTTAACAGTCGATGCATCTACATTTTATCAGGTTTAGAAGATTTTTATCTTTCTTCATTGCATGGCTCGAATGTAAGCTCATTTAATAATGAAACAGCAGGATTGTTGTATTAATCGAATAGTACAACTGGTCCAACAACTACGATTTCATTTTATAGAAAATTTGATTTATCTGATAGTATGCCTAGCTTTGGTAGTGGTAGAAGAATGGTAGTGACACTCAACTCTGGCGATAGTCAAGTTAAACAATTTGGAAGCTTTTATTTATTGTTAGGACAATGCTACTATTATGCGTAATAAACCGACGCATGCGCAGATCGATTTTACGACGTCACACAAAAATCCGCGACAACAAAAAAACGAAATTGACACTAATTTGAAAGCTGATTTTTAAATTTAAAAAATTGATTTAAAAATTGGTTTTTTGATTACCTAATTTCAACACAATGGGTGACGTTGCACGATAAATTTAATTAAATTTATGGTTGAATCGATGATTGAAAATGAAAATGAGGCACAACTGTCATTCTTCTACTACTTTTGAAGGTTTAAGGATGGTGTTTTAATAAAGTTAAATAAAAAAATTTATTGATGTATGCCTTATTAGCCTTCTCAGTATTTAGGTTAAACAGTAAATTCTTTAAAGTTCGTAGATTGACATGGAACATGAAGCTAGTATGGTAAAATATCTGTAATTTTTTTTTTTTTTTAATTTAAATGTTTAGCTATTTATAATAATTAACAAACTTGCATCAGCTAAAAAGTATTTTGCATACTTTAGTTACGTTACCATTAGTCTTGTGCAACTGTTTATAAACTTTGTATTGACCGTGCTTTATTGAACATAGACATTAAACTTGACGAGAAAGACACTTAGAAAACTATCAAAACTGCACACATGCAAATTCAAGTTAAATATATCAAGAGTTTATATATACAAAACACTTTTTATTATAACAAAAACATTCATAGCATGACCACTGATTTTGTTTTGTTTGTTTATTCAGTTAACATATTTGACTTCAATACTTTTTCTTGATTTTAATTTCATTGTTTATATGTAACTGTACAAAAAATATTGTTTAGTAGACAAACATATAAATTTCACTTCTATTGTTAAAATTTCAAATAATTTTTTATACATACAGTTAATATAGTGTGCCGAAATTTTTTCAATTTTTAAAAAGTGTTTAATGGTTTAGGACGATGTTTTATTAGAGTTATACAATCTCCTCAAAATCTCCTCAAAGCTCATTGACATGAAACATGTAAGCTAGTTTTGAGATTTTTACGAGTGAAAATTTTCTGGTACAAATAAATTTTGATATCTTTTAAATATTCTTAAGAGTAATATATTAAATAAATTTTCTATGTTGATAGTAACAAAAGACTTCTTTTGATAAACTTTGTTTATCATTACAATAAAATTTATTTCAAATTCTGTTGTTTACATTTTAAATACATTTTTTAATAAAACGCAGTTGCCTCTCTTGTAAAAATCAGCGAATCAGATTGCTCATATTTCTGCCTATTCTGAGCCTGTATAGGGTTTTAAAATATGCGTACCGGACATCCAAGGTTCAATGCCATCTCTGCGCAAGTTTTATGACATCGAACGGGAAGGAAGCTTGAACTTCTTTTCAAATGCTCTTTGCTCTTCCACGGTAACCTGTGAAAGGACATTTTGGGGATTCTACAATAAACAAAAAAAAAAAAAAAAAAAAAAAAAAAAAAACAGCTAAAGTGTTTATAAACATTTAAACTTTACTACGATTAAACTGACTTGTCCACTCATCCATATACTCTAAACAGACACTGTATAAAATGTCTGCTATTTTCCAGAAACTAAGTTTTTTGATAATGATTACTTTTTTTGGTAACTTGCAATTGTGCTTACCAGGAAAGGTAGAATGTTTTCATTTTTTTATATTTTATCTGTTCATTCAACTCTTTTAATACTACAACTTTAGCAGCAGAAATATCATTATATCAATTTTTTTATACCGTGTTAAAAAATATATTGCCTTAACAAAAGAGAGTACTATATTATCCATTTCGAGTAAATCAAAGTTTTATACAATTTTGTTAGCCTAAAAGAGTATAATCTTAATAGTTGATATAACTTGCACTTTTTTAATAGCTGTTAAAATATCTTATGTTTTTCCCCTTATAAGTTCATGTTTATCAGGTGAACTTTCACTCTCTCTATAACATAAAAATTACCAACCAAAACTGGATATATTAAAGACCTTTTGGTTCCATGCATCAGTAAGAATTGACACATATGATTCTTTTATAAAACATTTTTTGACTAAGTTTTACGAAATTTTTTATAAGTTTACAAATATCTCTTAAGATTTGGTACGCGTACCAAAAAAATAATTAATTATAAAATTTCTTAAACATTTTTATTTAATAATCAACACTTATAAAACTGTGTTTGTGTTTGATTGTTTAGAATGCAATCGTTATTTCTTGAATGGCTAATTCTTTTTCTTTTTGATCAAATTAGCAATGAACTTCAATTGCAGACTGTCCACAACTACTAATGTCAAATATGGTTTAAAAAACATTTGATTTAAAAAACTCTTTTTTTTAAATTCTGATTCAACCCAACAAAGCTGCAGGCAACTAATATTAAGTTGGGAGATACTAAAAAACAAGAGCAGAGTTATAGAGCAAGGAAACGGTTTAGAAAACTCTTGATAAAGGAAAGTCTTATGAGTCATCAAAACATGAAGATGGGAGAGTGCTTCAAAGAGGTGAATTGCGAAAAAAAAAAATGAGACAAAATTTTATAGAGCATTAAGGGGCAGAATAATTAAAAGAATAATAAAAAATAATAATAAAAAAAAAAAAAAAGAGATAAATTTTTATAGAGCATTAAGGGGCAGAATAATTAAAAGAATAAGTCTTTGTTGTACAACGATTCAAACGAGAATGAGTTTTAGTTAACGAAACTTGAATGAGTTTTAGTTCATGGAATTCTTTTAAGCACCGTTTTGATAGTACTTGTAGGAAAAAAAAAAGATTTTATTATTAAGTAAAACAGTAAGAAAGAAACTATTTAATAATCTTGAAAATTTTTCCAGATATACAATATGAATCAAGCTTACGAAGAAGACTAGTCGAAGCTTTGTCGAAAGCTTTAGATATTTCAAGAGCAATAGTTCTAGCCTCTCCGCCTCCGTCTAATACACTACGAATTCTTTTAGTTACAAAAGTTAGCAAGATAGCCGTAGAGCAAGAGGATTGAAAATCGTAATGATTGTCTGACAATAAGTTTTTTGTTAATCAAAGACCCTTGCTAATAACAAAAATTGTACGATAATTGAATTTAATTATCGTACGATAATGATCGTACAATAAACAAAGGGTTTAGAACAATTACCTTACAATTTGAGTAGTAGATGCCATTTTCCAGCAGGCAGGAAAACATGATTTAGTTAATCACATATTAATTAGTTTAGAGAGAATGGTGGGGATAGGAATTTCAGGGAGCCAGGTTGTAAATAAACTGACTCTTTAGCAAATTTAAAAAGTTTTAATTTTTTAATTTTTTTTATTTGTTAATACCTAGTGAATAATTTTCAATACTTTAGGGTACTATAGCCTCGTTTTGAGGGGGGTTTTGATCCACTAGCCATGGAATTGATTGTGCTTTTGAAACTACAACTACAATTTCTGCAAAAAAATCTGTATAATATGCTAATGCAACGCCTACACAAACATTAAGATTTACAACAATTAACACTAAAACAAACTTACAAAAAAATACACTAAAATATTGTTGTTTGTCGTAAGTTACAAAAAGTTATACTTATCTATTAATTTTCTTTTTACAATTTTTTTATTTCTATTATCATTTACTGTAATATAAAAATTTATATCAGTTACGTTTACGTTACGAAAAGTGAGTGCTACTGTTTTTTCAGCGCGCGGGTGAAAAGTGCAAAAAAATAAATAAATAAATAACTAAATTAACAAAATAATGTTCAAATAAATAACTTTACTTAAAAACTTTAATTTAAAGTAACATATATAATAAAAAAGTGTACATTCAAAACCAAAACACTTTTACATATCTAGTTTTATATAGTTAGAAAAAAATGTTTACTTGTAAAAGATATTTACTTGTAAATAAAAGTGGTTTAAAAATATAATAGGAATATCTTAAAACTATATTTATATTTATAGCTTTTATTATATTTATATCTTATATAAAATATTTATATTTTGCATATTTTTTTTGCTCTCTTTTATTTTCTTTAAACTAAATAAAGATGAAGTTGAAGAATTTTAATCATCGTAAGATTATAATGTACTTTTACGAACATTTTAAAGTACCTTTTAAGACTGTTTTGAACACAGACAACACTCTTTTTAGGGCTGTTTTGAACATGGACAACACTTGTTTTAGGGCTGTTTTGAACATGGACAACACTCTTTTGACAAAATAACGTTGTTCAGCTTCATTAATTGTTCTTTAATTAAAGTAAGTTCTTCCTGAACATTATTTAAAGACGTTAAATTTTTTTCCTCGTTTAAATGACTGTTAAAAAGAAAAGCCATTGGAACGATTTTATCTTTTGTTTTGGTTTGTTTTTCTCCCTTGTATTTATTATAGACAAATGTAATGACATCTTTAATTATAAAAGTAAAGACCATTAAAAAAATTGATATCAAAGAATATTGTATGTAGTTAACTTTCATAAATTCATCAACGTTTAGTACAGATTCTGTTTCTATCTAAAGGAAATAAATGAAATAGTCATTAAAAAACTTTAAAAATATAATTAAAATAAATGATATAAAAATTTAAAGTTGAATATATTACGCATTTTGTCAAAACAAGTCAAGAAACAAAATTTAATTTTAAAAAAACCATTTAATTGCAGTTTTAATATTCAATTAAATTAATATGAAAGTAGTAGTTTTTTTTTTAATAAAAACAATAATTATTAAAAAATATTTTTACTCTTATTCATTTTAATTAAACTTTATTTTTACTTAGTTTGCTTAATACAACTCATTTTGATACAATGGCTCACATAAAAAAGTTAACTAATTTTTTTTTATATGTTTTCAACTTACAATTGGAATCTTTCTGTTATAATCTTGTAAATTTTTTAAGATATCTGTAAAATGTAATTTTTGTATACAGTCCAAAACTACATCGGGTTTGCTGGTATCATGTGGATATAAATTAGCCATCACGTTGGTTTGACTACCAAAAGCTATTAAAACGGGTGAAATGGCGTCTAATACTTGCACGAGCACAACATTTTTGTATCTTTCCTTATAGTTCATATTTAACAAAACATCGATGTTGATAACTCCATATTCAACTTTATTTAAATTCACATCTTGAAGAACCTCTTCGTAGGAGCCGTATACTATGTATATAAAAAGATAATTATATATGAATTAATTTGAAAAAGGTCATTGTAACTAGGAAGTATAAAGCCTGTATTAAGTTTAATTATAATAAAGGTTTAATATAATCTATTTTAATAAAACTGAAAAAACATTTTGAATTTTATTGATCTACAAAATGTGTATTGGGTATAGGCCTACAGCGTATGGGTCTATGCGTGGGCCTATTAAATTGTGGTCTATGCAGCTAAATATTTTTCTTTTCAGTAAATTACCCTATATGAGTCTGTTTTTATTTTCTTTATGCTATTTTTTCATAATGGTTATAATTAGTTTGTTGAGTAACTTTTTGTAGTAAGGCCAAGAATATACCCCAACGGGCATTTGTTGGTTTAAAATTGGTTTATATCACGTTTAGACGGCGTTTACGTCGATCTAAACGTTTAGGAATCTATTCTAAATGTGCTCTGAATATTTAATTTGCGTTGAAAAGCTAAATCAAACAATTTCCGTACGGAACTAACTTAATTCACACATAATGTGTAGGACATTTTGAATCTTTCATTATGATTAAAAATTAGAATTTCATATGAATCTTTAGTTATGTAATAAATAGTTTAGAAAAGATAAAAGAAATTTGTTTTTAGTATTATACTGTGGTTAACAAAGCAGCTAAAAGGTCCTGTAAGTTTTTTGATAACATTGTATAGGCTATTAAAAGTTACTTTAAGTACAGTAACAATGTATTTTGATAATTCTATATTTATTTATTGCTACTAAATAAAGCAGTTTCAAAAAAATAGCAGTAATTTCAAAAAAGCATCAGTTTCAGCATTTTTTTTTTTATATTTCTTAAATTGTTTTTTCTGTTTAGTTTTTAACAACGCTATAAAACGTCTATAGTTAACTCTTAGCTTCCTAATTTTTCTACTTTTACTAAAAGTAGAAAAATTATAAAAAATAGTTACCACTTAAAAAGCATAAATTTTCTCTATAAGTTTTAGAGAAAAATTATGCATTTTAAGTGGTAACTATTTTTTAATTAACTAAATAAAAATATTATTGTTTGTTTATATTAAGACCTAACATCTATTTGTTTATGATAGATGTTATATTGATCGAATAGCAATGTTATAATATTTATACTTTTAGTGCAGTCAGTGCCAATCAAAAACTATGAGGTTCAAATATTTATATAATGGATCTTCAGTTTTAGTGTAGGCTTTTAGTGTAAACTAAAAAATATTTTTAAAAGTTTAAGTATTATTCATACATATGATAACCACTAAAGAGAAAATAAATTTACTTACCTCTGATATGATAGATTGTTGTATTGTATTACTTATTTTATCTTTTGTAGAAAAGTTTACATGGTTCGAACAATAATATAGTTATATTACATAGTTATATTTTATTTCTAAAATCTGCGCAAATATTTTTTTTATTCTTTATTAAGTTTTGCGCGTTTAATTTCATTTAATACTTTATATACAGTCCAGTCAGTTGCAACAACAATTAAAGCAGCAGGAAAAAGCCAAGTACACATGCAAGATAAACTGCAAATTATGTACTTTTAGATAAGATTCTAAAATTTGAACATCTGTCAGATATTTACCTTTTAAATCAAAATCTAATTGCTCAGTCTTATGAAAAGCTATTTATAAAAATTTAACGCTTAAAAATTAATGTAAGATTAAAGGTAATTCCTGTTATATTTAAAAGGTACGTTGATGATTGGTTCGAGTCTTTAAAGTTTAAATTAGTTAAAAGAGAGTTCAAATTTTCTGTTTTTATCTTATGCTCTATATCTAAAAGCTATTGAAATATTTATAGCACTATTTTTCATTTATTTTATTATGTTATGAAAGACCTACCAAGCTTGAAATTTTACGGGTCGAAATATATAGTATGTATATGTATATCATCCCCCGTAACTAGGAAAACTAAAGTCAGCAAAAAAAGCTAAAAAAACTAGACCACTAAACTTATTTGAAACACTTTTAACAAGTTTAGTTACAAGTTAATGTTATGTGTTGATGCACCTTCAACCAAATTAGTGTTAACATTTTAGCAAAATGTCATAGCGCCAGTCTGTTTGGTTGGAAGAACCAAAAGCTTGATATTTTATTGAATTGTTATTTTAGTTTGTGATATTATAATTTTTATTCACAAAATGTTAAATAATTTACTTTTTAAATTTATTTGTCATTGCTTTGGATAAAATGTTTTGTTATTCCTTTTACAGATTGTTATGAGGATTGCAAATGTTTTAAATATCAGAAACTGAAGAAGACATTGATAATCAGCAGATATCAAAAATGTTAATGTTAATGCAAAAGGTACGAATATTGACAGGTTAGCTAATTTGATGTTACAATAAACATGAAATAAAGTTTGTGAAGACTTTAGTGCCAAAAATACTTGAATGCATTGTTCATGCATGCTATATTATGATATAGCATATTTTATTTTATACATTATATTTTATTTCATCCATCATCTATTCCACAGCCACCTTGTCTCAAGCATTAAATCGCATTCTAAGATATCTCTATTCAAATTAAGTGTGACTACTTTAATAAAGACACTAAAATGGGCCAATCAAGTAAGATGTCTAAATCTGTATATTTTATATAGAACTCCTTTACTTTTAAAAACCTGTTAATTTTATGACTTATGAACATATTTAGCAATGTAATCCTTTTAGGATACACTTTTTAAAATCAAATTTACAATGTTTTCGTAAATTTTTATTTAAAATAACTTTGTATACATAATATATCTTTTTTTTTTTTTTTTTTTAGTATTGTATTTGCCGATTGAAAATAATTTACACTCGTAATTTATAAAAACAAATATTTACATGACTGGGGCTTGAAGAAGACAAAGTTCATCTTATCATTAAGCCCCCCCAAAAAAATGCGAATTCATCAAATAAAATATTTTAACAAAATGTATAAAATAAAATATATAACGTTTAAAATATTTAGTAATTCAAAGAGTATTTATATTTCAGAACTGATTAGTAAAATAAGATGATATATAAGTATTAATATTACAAAAAGAATTTACAATAACTTTTTTTAATAAAAATTGAAATTATAAAATTTTACAATATTTTTAGTAATTAGTATTTTAAATAATAAAACTTAAAAAATCGTTTGTAAATTCAAAACTTATAAGATAAGAAATACATTTACAATAGCAGACTATTGTTTAGAATATTAAATATAATATTAAAGAGTAATTAGTAGGTTAATTTTTGTTTTTGTTTGCTAGTTTAAAAAGCTTTTTAGAAGAACTTTAATTCATTTTCATGTATCATCAGTAATTGCTTAAGTTTTGTTTTAAACTGGTTTAAAGAATAATTAGATTTCAGCTCATTATTTAATATTGTATTCCACAGCTTAGGACCTCGATTTGCAATTGAGAATTTGGTTGCTGAATAATGTGTTTTGGATTGAATGTAATTGTTTTTTGAAAATCTGGTAGGGTATATGTGGTTTATTTTTTCAAAAAGTGAATTAAATAACATTGGTGATATTTTTTTATCAAGTTTAAACATGAAGATAAGAATATGGTAAAGGTTTAGTTTATATACATTTAGAATATTAAGTTTATTAAATAATGTTTTAGTGTGAGAGAAACGGTCTACGTTTGTAATTATCCTTATAGCCTGTTTTTGTTTACTCAACAATTTTTTTACTTTTGTTGGGTTTGTGCTGCACCAAGCAACGTTTGCATAATTTAAGTAGCAATTTATTAAAGAAAAATATAAATTTTTTAAACAAGATAGATTTAAAAACTGCTTAACTTTATACAAAACACCTATATTTTTTGATATTTTATTTTCAATTAGACCTATGTGGTCCCTCCAGGTTAAATTTTCATCCAGAACCACACCTAAAAACTTTATTGATTGCTCTCTTTATAATAATGCGTTATCAATAAAAAGATCAGGAAGTTTTAATGGAATATCTTGTTTTTTATGAAGACGATGGAACAAAGTGTATTTGGATTTATTGATGTTCAAAGATAGTTTGTTTGATTTGAACCATTGGGTTATTTTTTCAAGTTCTTTGTTTACTGTTTGAAATAATTTACTGATATCTTTACTAGAATAAAACAAGTTTTATATAGTATAATATCTATATAGTTATTTACATTGTAGCTAACCCATCAGTACTTGCAAAGTCTCCTTTTCTGTAAGCCCGAAAATTGAGTTCTAAAATACCATTATCCACATAAATACTATATCAAAGCACAAACTAATGGATTGCTCAAGTAATACTTAATTTTTACCTTGAATTGCGTGTTAGTACATATACATGATTTTGATATATAAATTTTAATTATTATGTTTGTTGATTAGTTTTTAAACTATAAGAATTGTAAGAATTACAATTTTATTTTTACATGTTTATTTATATTGTAGCGAAACTGTCGGTATCTCCACAACTTTTCAATTAATTAGAAAGTTTCAATTAAACAGGATACTGAGTGTGCCTACTGCTCCTCAAGACAATGGATAATTGGAGTTTTTATTATATAAATGTTATATATTTTACAGAGTTTTAAAGAAAATTTTTTTGTTAATTGTTACCATAGTTACTCAATTTACACTCTACTAATGTACAATATTCTATAATCTATAAAACTATGGATTTATAAAGTTGTAAATGAATGATTTATATGAATAGAATGGTTTATATGAATAGAATGAAGATGTTTATTTAGTTATTTTATTATTTTTAGAAAAGAGATTGTATGACTTCGGTGTCCGCAATACGGTATCGTGAATTGATTTCCATCTTAGAATGGCTCCGTTCCGTATAGGTGGAAATAGGAAAGGTTATGTCCTTTTTTCTAATTTTTAAGACGAAGAAGCTTAATCGGTTCAAACAAAGATGACGATGATCATTATGGAGCTGATCATGATGACGAATACGATAATGCATATAATAATAAATAAAATGATTTTACTTGTATCTTAGACTTATATAAATAAAAAATTCTTTGTTTAATGTTTGAATTGTTTATGAGTATTTAGATAATGCGTTTAGTGTTTAACTTTTTTTTACGGTGTTTATTTAAAGCAGGTTAAATAAAAGAAAAGTTTGATTCGTTTATCAATATTTTGTATTTTTTTATGCTATTTTAAATGGGCGCCGTAAAAAATAAAAGTTTAACGTCGCGAAGTTTTAAACGAAAGATTTAGATGGAGTTTAAATAGCGTTTAAAACGAACCATTTAGATATGGTTTAAATGGAACATTCAATTGACCTACGTTCTAAATTGAAACTAAATTAAATCTAAACATTTAGAAAGAACATTAACTAAACGTTGATTAAGTGTTTGAATTCCCGTTGGGTACTAATGTCAGACCAAAATTTATTTTTCAATAATATTTTCAATGTTGTAATATGAAATAAAATAAATTAGATAAAAGTCTTATCTTGGGTTAAGATTTTGCCTGGTCTTATATACCATGATAGTTCAAAGAATATATATAAATCGTTTTTTAAGTTAAAGATACTGTGGCTGTAGCACTAATAAAAATATTTTTAATTAAAAAATAAAAAAAGAACAAGTTTTAACCTTGCTCTTTTTAGAAAAGTACTTATCATCATTTACTAATATAATTTTAAAACACATGAATTTATTTAGTTACAAAAATAAAACTTATTAACTTAAATAAGAAACTTAAACAAAGATCATATTTACTGATAAATAACGATAAAACAAAAGGTTTTTTCAAAATTCTTTTCATTATTAATAATTTTTTTAGTCAAATAGTATTTTTAGGTTAATTTGTTAGGTAATTTTTTTTATTAATAAATTTGTTTTGTTTTTTAGGATATTTTTGTGTGCTCATATTACATAGTGGACTGAGTAGTATAATCATTTTTATAAATTATTTTTGACCTTCGTATTACAGAGAAAGAGATTATAATTAACAAAAAATTTTCTACACTCACCATTTATATATATATATATATATATATATATATATATATATATATATATATATATATATATTTATATATATATATATATATATATATATATATATATATATATATATATATATATATATATATATATATATATATATATATATATATATATATATATATATATATATATATATATATATATATATATATATATATATAGTATATATATATATATATATATATATATATATATATATATATATATATATATATATATATATACATATATATATATATATATATATATATATATATATATATATATATATATATATATATATATATATTTATATATATATATATACATACATATATATATATATATATATATATATATATATATATATATATATATATATATATATATATATATATATATATATATATATATTTATATATATATATATATATATATATATATATATATATATATATATATATATATATATATACATATATATATATATATATATATATATATATATATATATATATATATATATATATATATATATATATATATATATATATATATATATATATATATATATATATATATATATATATATATATATATATATATATATATATATATATTATTTGAAACAACTTATACTAGTTTTCATTAAGAAAACATTAAATGGATTAGCAATTTTATTAACTATACCTCGTTTTAAACTTGAGTTAAAGTTTTTCTGAGCCATGTGAAAATCAAAAGAATCGTTTACGGCTGCAATCTATATTAAAAACCAAACAAATTATAAATATATATAAACAATCAGTGGCGATCATAGAAAAAAACAAGGAGAAAGGTGGAGGGAATTCAATAATTTAAATTTTTTGACTGATGTGTCATTTGCAATTAACGGATTGTATTACTCAAAAACCAACTATAAACTAGAAATTGACTTCATGAAGGACTTTGACACCTCTCTAATCTCGTAGAACTGCCTTTGTAAACAGATGTCATAAATGTATAATCTAGATTCATAAATTTAGTTCGTAATTGAAAATTTTTAGAAAAAACCAGATTTCAATCAATAAAAATAACTTCTTTTACGTTATCCGTATATACAATTAAGTGTAAGCCGGTGTTATCAAAATATTGGATGTTGCCATTAAGTTTAGAGGTATTTAAAAGTTGAATTACTTTTAAGCACTTTGTGATACCAATTAAGATTTTTAGTAAGTTTACATAGAAATACTGATATAGAAATAATATTAATTTTTACAAGAAAAATTTTTTTTTATTTTTTGTTTTTTTTTTTTGTTTTGTTATTTAGGTGCCCCAAGAAGACCTAACGATCTTGTCACAGACCTAACGGTCTGTAACAAAACCGTTAGGTCTCTGTAACAAGACCTAACGGTTTTGTCACAGAGCACCGCGGAAGTACATTTGATCATAGAGTTCACGCCTCCTTCCTTACCGTGACGCGAAATATGTCCAAAGGTCGTTTCGAACCTGGATCTTCTGCTTATAAAGAATGCGCTTTAACCACTGCGCCACAGCTGTGGTAGTTTTAATTTCAAGATAACAAAATATAGCCAAATATTTCGATTTGTTCTTAAGATTAAAACTGTGCGGACCAAATTGATCAGCCAAAACGAAAAATAACCTGCCCTGCAATGTTGGTTTTTAAAGGATATAGTAATAATTTTATCATAAATTTTTGAAGTAGGTAGGCAAAAAATCTGTTAAAACTAAATTGATAACGCTTCGTGCACTTTGGTTTTTTTTATGACCTAAGTACAACTAATAAAGCTCAATATTATCACACCTTTTGTGCAAAAAATAAACTTTGATAAAATCTAATATCTGCAAAAACATTTTTTCTGAACAAACTACAAAGCATTTTTTTAACCAATTGTGTTTGTTTTTTTGAGCGTACTTTTATTTGTGTAGTCTTTCATGAAACTTTGAACAAATATATGTTTTTACATAAATATTTTTAAAATAAAAATTGAAATTTTCCATTGCCAATTGCTGTTAATATTTTCTTGTACTCTTAAAGTTTATTTTATTTTTTAGCAAATATCTTTTACAGCAATAAAAAAATAACAAATTTTTGTGTTATAAAACTAGGTAATAATGAAACCTCAAGTTTACACTTTAAATTACTTTAAAAGAAGAAAACAAAATGTATATTAAACTCAGTTTAAAAACCTACTACTTTTAATAATTTATTATTCATTGTATACAAAACAATGTTTCCTTTATGGAACATAAGAAGTCATAATCTCCAGATAGTTTTAAAAAAACTAAAAATATTTTAAAAAAAAACATAAGCATAGCTAAATGATCTCCAAATACAGATGCAGACGTTATTTTATTTTATTTTTAACTAAATTAATGTATATGGCAGCTGGAACTCCAAAACTTCTTGTTTTTATTCTTTTTTTCACCTTATTTTTAATATTTCGTTCGATACGATGCATACCTAAACAGTGCAACTGTAGAATCAATTTTTTAGCATTATTAGATTTATTTTTTATAATGTTTTAAATGCTGAGAGTATATAATATTTTATTACTTTAATATATGGAGTTAAAAGAAGAAACTACTTTAACATGTGAAGAATAAGTTACTTATTCTTTTAGCTCCTTAATATTGATGAATAATATAATTAAACTTATTATGGATGAATTATATTTTTAATTAAGTAATTAGCCTAATTTAGTGATTTTGGTATTAAAATTTATATAAGTTATTGTATTTGGTATTTAATTCATTAGAAGAAACGGTTATCTAAAATTACGTTTTACTTCAAAAAAAAATTAATAAGATTGATAAAAATTATTGATAATAAATAAATATTTATTATTCATAGGAAAGACATTTCTTTGAGTTATCAAAACACTAAAGTTTATTGATTTATGAAGTTTGGTAGTAAGTGAGCTGCAGTTACAAAAAGCACGTTCCAGTTCAACGACACAAAGATAATTCATTAACAATCTTTTGTAGTATTGAGTTTAATTTTTATTCGTAAATATTTGTTAATCATCAATATTTGTTTCGAAAATTTTGTTTTACAAACACTGTCTTAGAAGTATCACGTCAAGTAATGAAATTAACAAGCTTCCATTAAAAGTAAGCAAATTAAATGAGAAAGTCAGGAGTTCGGCAAAGTTTATTTTTCAAACAATTTAAAAAAAATCTAGACATTCATAATCGTAAAAAAATATTATGAAAAGATTTTTGTGCTCCTGAAGCCCCGTTGAAGCTGCAAAAAAGAAAACAATAGTACGTATAACTTTTACAATTATAGTTAATGTAAAATGTGACTTGTTATTATTTTTTTTTTCGACATAAAAATTATATGAGTAACTATTATGTTATTATACTATGTTATTATACTATATTATGTTGCTATGGAATTTATGGTTTTATCAATATTTTTGCTAAACACAAAACCTTTTTTAGAAACAAATTTAATTTTCAGAATTAACTTTATATCATTTTTTAAACAACTGAGTTGTCAAATATCATTTCAAATTGTATTAATGAAAAAACTTTTTTATTAATATAAATGAGAGATTTTCTGGTGACATTCATATTAATTTAAAATTATCTGTTGAATATGTGAGATATTCATACGAGCTTCTTATAATTATAAAAACATTGCTTGTATTTTTTATTTTTATTTTTTTATTTTAATTCACCTCCTCAAGGCCGAGAAGGCCACTACAGACGAGGAAGCTACTTATTTGTGGCTATAACCCTCTCTCAACTCTATAACTCCGAAACACGAACTTTGATGAACAAGGCCGCTGCGCGGAGAAACGAGTTGAGCGCGGTACTACCAGGGACGTGGTGAGGATCAAACTCCGAACCATTCGTTTATGAAGCGAGCGCTCTACCACTACACCACTACCGCAAAAAAATATATATTATTGCTTATTTAATGTATTTTCACGAACAGTTTTCTTCAAATTCAGTTTTTTTGATTATTATTTTAAGCAATAATATATCAAGTCTTACATTATTTGTTAAAAAATCCAATAAAAATATATCAAATTGTATTATTTACGAACTGATAAAGTAATGTTCACATTGAATTAAAATTACCGTTTGAATGTGAGTTATTCATACAAGCTCCAAATAGTTATGAAAACAATTCATGTAATTCATTTAATATATTCTTTCAGTGATGTTCATATTAAATCATCAGTTGAATATGTGACTTGGGATTATGATTTAATAATACTTTTTATTTATCTTTGAATTTGTGTTATGTTTTTTTGCATATAATAATTTGAAGAAGTATCTTCAGATATCGTCATACAAAGTAATTGTTTTAGTTATCAAAGTTATTCTTTAATTAGATTCATAACATGTGTTACCTTTAAAAGTTTTAAAAACTAAAATCTCAAAAAACGCTGATAAATTGGATAGTTGTCATGTGCTGGTCAGTTGGAGGACAAACTTTTTAATTAAGTTGAATACGGAGTAATATTGAACAGCAGTAAAAGCGTTTAGTATTGTTTCAAATAAAATTTCTAAGTATTCCAAAGAGTTAAGTTATCAGACCACGGATCTAGCCATTTTATTAAACACGATCAAGGTAAAATAGTTGTAGTTGCTTCAATGGCAGTACTTATTAGCATAAGTTCCATATCACCCAAGGCATAAGTTCCATATCACCCATTAGCATAAGTTCCATATCACCCAATAAAGTATCCAAGTTATAGTAAACAAAATAAACCAAAATTTTATTGTTTTAAAACTTCTTGGTATAACGAGTATCACAAACTTGAATACAGTTTAATTACAGGTATTGTGTTCCTTATTTCCTAAAATTATTGGAAAAAAACTTTTTTTTAGTAATTTGGTGTCACGGTTGTTTATCAAAGAGCAATTTTGTCACTAGCGCATAGCTTGAAAATTTAATTGATAAGAAATGTTGCGCATATCCATGTTTATCCTTAAGTTTTTAATCTTTTATACTTCAAAATATATTTTTTCAATAGTCTTCCTAATATTTTTTAATGTGCAGTTCAATAACCAAAAATTGTTAATACCGAAATAAAATGTTTTTTTAACTGAAAAGAATTTTGTTATTTTAACAATCAAAATCAATATTTAACTAGTAAAAGGAATATTTTTGTAAAAAGCAAGAAAAATAGCTTTATTCATTTGCATTTCGCTTGATAACTACAAAAGCATTTGACAGAAAGTAGCGTCCGCGACTTAAGTAGGGAAAAGTATCATACAACAATTTTCATAAAAGTCAAAAATCAAACTTTTTAGTAGTGTAATTCGCCGAATCGCGAACATAAAAAAATTATATGTTTTGTTGCTCGCGTTTATAAGCAAAATTAAATTTTATAAATTGCAGTTTCAAGAAATTCTTAACACTTTTTTGTTATTTTACGAGACTAGTTTTTTTTTAAAAGATAACTTATCTATTCTGACATTCTATTAATCCATAGAGAGTAAAGGAGGCAAATTGTAATTGTTTACGCCTGATTGTTTCTACTTAGTATATATTAAATGAAAATCAAAGCAAACATTAAACAGAAATAAAGAAACAGAAAGTTATTTTTGTTTAGTTTGTTTAATTGTTTAATGTTCTGTTTAATGGTTATAATTATTAATTGTTACTGTTTAATTATTAGAACTATTCTAATAGCTAAAAGTCAATCAAAAAACAATAAAGAAAACCTGAAATTATGTTTCAGTTCAAAATATTATTCTTGTTTACAGAAAATGAACAAATGCTAGAAAATGATTTTGCTT